TACCATATACAACTCGTAATACTGGATTGAGTAACTGCTCCTATTTTATTGTGTAACTTGTAATGATTGATTGTGTACCTGAAAAACAACTATCAAAACACACTATGGAGTATTTTTCAAAAAAAAAAAAAAAAAAAAAAACATGATAACAATTTCGTAATTAATTTGAATCTGATAGAAGGATTCTACTTTTTTTTTTTTTATAAGGAAGGGAAATACCCTACATATACACACTATTTGCCTCAAATAAAGTTTGAACCTTACACCTCCCACTTAGGAGAGCAACCCAATACCAGTGGACTACAAGCCACTTGGTTATAGAAGGATTCTACTTGACCCTGGCCTAAAATGATATCTGCTGCAAAAAAAATTTACAATCTACAATATAATAATAATAATAATAATAATAATAATAATAATAATAATAATAATAATAATACTCCGTAATAATAATAATAATAGCAGTACAAAATTAAACTGAAAACCCGTGGCTAACCAGCACGAGGACAACCTGTCACGTGCCTGCTATCAATATGCAATAGAATAATAAAGCAACCTAGCTAGGTGCTACTATGAGTCCTCAACATCAAGCCCACACTTCAGTAGAGATTTGCCCTATGCATGCTTTCTTTGTTTATTATTATTGGGAAAATGAAATTTTTGATCTGGCAAATATAGTCGTCGTGTAAATTTAATTTATTATTTACTATTAAAGTGATATATTTGGTCCCTTAGGTCAAATTAAAGTTGACACTTTAACAACAATTAAGGGAACGACAAAATTATATACTATTTTATATAAATAATAAATGAGAATCTAAGCTAGGTTTTGAGTGTTGATTAATTTGTTAATTAAAAGATGGTTAGTTGTAAATGCGCTGGCTTAGTCTAAACCCACGTTCACAGGAACCTACAACTAACCATCTTTCCTTGCCTCAACCCTTGTCTTTCTACCCACCCACTTCTTACTTGTTAACACTTCTATTACCTGATTTACACCCCCCCCCCCCCCCCCCCTCCTCCCATTCTCAAAATCTCAACATACAATTAATTAAACAAAAAAAATATCTTCCAAATCTTTTGAAACCAACTCAAAAGTAAATATTCAGTTCTGTAATTGTGAATATAGAGTTTTTTAATTGTAAATATAGAGTTCAAAAATTGTGAATATAGAGTTATGCAATTCTGAATATTGAGTTATGTAATTTTATGTATTGAGATCTAAAATTGTGAATATTCAGTTCTAAAATTGTGAATATAACCCGAATTCACCTTGCAAGGTGAGTCCCGATCCACCTTGCAAAGTGGACCCCGATCCATGGCATAACTATTCATTGTCTTGTGTCTGTAATGCATCAGGACCGGGATTCAGAATTTTTTACAACGGGGATCAAATTAAAACTTTTTATTTACTTATTTTCTTATTAAAAGAAAATATACAATTATCATAACATTAATGGTTAATATACTACTCTTTCTGTATCATTTTATATATCTAGTTCGATTAATGAGACTTGATTAAAGTTATTTTTAATTTAATTTTTCATAATGTTAAGTTTAGTGTAATTTTTTTTTGAAGGGTGGATAAAATCTATTTATTTATTTAAAAATTACATTAAAAGTACTATTAAACACAAAAAAAAAATTATATTTACAAACAATTAAAGAAAACAAATTAAACAAAGAAAAATGATTTTGTTTGACCTGTACCAATGAATAGCAAATTTAACAGATAAAATGGGACATGGAGAGTAGTAAAAATTAGTGCCTACACAGATTATAAAAAATTACCATTGCTATGCATACAATTCCAATGAGTGAAGACAAAAACCATCTACAATATAACTCTATATAAAAGCCAGCATTATATTGCCAAAATATAGCATTATCTAAGTCATTAACTATATATTTGTTATTAATTCCAAATTCTAAGGAATGAAGAAGTAATATTATTACAAGTTGAATAGTATGAGTATAGCAAATTGTACATTGAGAGGAATAGCTTTACAGGATAATGTGGAGATCAGATAACAATATAACAATATTATTCTTGAATCCGATTGCCTTAATTCTTGTAATGCTTTTAATTCTAGTAGCACGGATTATTCATACGTGAGTGTGGTTATCAAGCAATGCCTGTCTATTGCAAATGACATAGGTAGCATTAGTGTTTGCCATGTCAAGAGAACAGCGAATCGAGCGGCTCACAAACTAGCGCGGGCAACCGGTTCTTCATCTGTCTCTGGAACGTGGGAATTTATCCTACCGGCTTGTATCTCTGGTTTATTAAGTTATTAATGAAGCTGTTTCGCGTTTTGGTTTAAAAAAAAAAAAAAAAAAAAAAAAAAAAAAAAAAAAAAAAACAGATTAATATATAGGGTTACACACTAACACTCTTTATTTTATTTTTGGGCTTTTTTTTGGTTGAATAAATAAATTTTGAAGACTAATAATTCTCTATTTCTTTGGGCTTTTGTGTAGGTGTCATTTATTTTCAAGGTTTGAGGGCCCAATATGCAATTGTCATTATACAATGGACTTCGACCGTGATCCACACAGCTGTGTAGATCACGATTCAAAAACGACGTCGTTTTGTTTAATTTTATTTTTTTTAGTGTTCATCTGCAATATACATTTTGATAACTCATATTGTACATTATTTTAAAACATAATGTATATTATTCTGAATCATAATATACATTATTTTAAAACATAATGTCCATTATGTTACTCCAAATGTTTCATTATTCTAAACACGTGATATGTACATTATATTATTCTAACATGTAATGTATATTATTCTAATACATAATGTATATTATTTTTACTCAAACCAATTTGCTTAAGGGTAAAGTAATTTCGCTTTTAAAATCAATGATATGTTTATTTAGAATTGATTATGAAATTGTGCCTGGAGTTGAATACTTTTTTAGTTCTATGACTCTATTATAGTCATATAGTGTAGTATCTATTCAATTGAGTTTTTGGATATTATTTTGTTATTGGTTTCTCTTTATTTGATTTTTAATAATAATGTTTACCATTTTGTTATTTCCTTTGTTTTTTTTTTTTTGGAACTTAAACTATCACTCCATCCTCTATTCTATTTTCTAAAATTTGGATAAAAATAAATCATACGATGCGACTTTACAGCAAATTATGTTGTGGACCCGGGTCCAAAATGACGCGTCTAAATTTAAATAAATAAATAAAATTGTTTCCTTCCTTACCTTTAACTTGTTGTTTGTCTTCAAAATTCGTTCCTCTATATTCACACGCGCAAATTGAGTCCATGGCATAACAATTTTCAACTTTACTCACTATTATTACAAATCATTATTATTATTTTTTTTTTGAAATACTATTCTCTATTACAATGTAACATTTGTATTATATTTTGCAGGGTTGTAAAAATCCCGCCTAGGTACCGAGTAATCGGCGCCTAGGCGCTAGGCGCCCCTTGGCGGTGGCGATTTTCCCCCTAGACTCCCGCCTAGGAAACTGGCCGCCTAGCGCCTAACTCGGCCTATTACGCCGAGTTAACTCATCAATTTATGTCGAGTTAGCCGAGTTAACCCGGCCGACTCGACCTTGCTAATTTTTTTTCATTTATATATATATATATATATATATATATATATATATATATATATATATATATATATATATATAATATGACATATATGCACCTACACACGTGCACTGTTTTTCTTTTTTTTTAGTTAGCCGCCTAGGCGACCGCCTAGCCCGCTTAGGCCCCGCCTAGGCCGTCTAGGCGCTAGGCGCTACTCTACCGCCCGACTAGCGCCTAGCGCCTATTGCAACCATGATATTTTGACATCATTACAGGAGTTCGATCCTGTGATCTTCCATCAAGAAAAGCCACAGAGGTGTCATCTGAGCACGAGATACTTAGTTTACAAATCATTGCTTATTTAAAGAGAAAGTTATTTATTATTTATTGGATTCGACACTCACCACATCTCGACTTGAACAACTGAGGTTTGTCCTTGTGATCTGCTTAATGTCTTAAATTCTTAATCAACAAAATGTAAATGTAGAGCACCCGATATTAATCTCTGTAATTCTTTTATTTGGTGCAAATTACTGCGTAGTTTGCTTCTATTACAACCCATTTAGTTCACAAACAATATTTAAGAATGAATGGAATTGAAATTTAGCGAAGGTTGATAAAGAGCTAAGTCCAGTATCATGTAGCTAAGAGAATTATTGAACGAAAATTTGACGGGATCAAGTTCAACATCCTGTCTCTCGAAAACGTTGCGATATAAAAAAAATAAAATTACGTTTTCGCTACTAAGTATAGCTTTAGGTATAGTGATAAACGTTTGATTCTAAAGAGTGATATCAAAACCCAAAAAAAATGTGATAACATTTTATATAAGGATTTGCTAATTGTTAGATTAAGAGTTGGGAATTCAATTTTTTGTTTGATTATTTTGTATAACCAAACCAATGTGGTTTTGTGAACCAATTTGCTGCTACTTGGCCGAGAATATGCCATGCCGACGCCGGGTACCATCTTACAACGAACACGGTCATGGTTGGGGCCGTCCTCTTTGACAATGACGGTGGATATATTTTGGCTTCCAACGCCTCCATCCAGAATTGTTTCTCCCCTCTTATTGCCGAGGCGGTCGCATGCAAAGAGGCCTTGTCATGGCTCAAGGGCCGGGGGAACAATCTATAGAGCTATACACGGATTGTCATACACTTCAGAGTTATCTATCCTCCGTGCTTCATTTCATTCATATATTGGTTATGCTATTGATGGTTGCAAGGCTAACATATCTACTTTTCAGCACTGTTTTAAACTACTTAATTAACACACACACATTTTAACTTCTACCGCTTTTGACTATGCTACTGCACCTGACTCGATTTCAGACTTTCTATAAAAATCACATTGATTTACTTTTAAAAAAAATAATTTTAGAAAATAAATGAATATAAAAAATTTAGAAGGAAGAAATCATATGTGTGAGCTGAAAATAAAGACTATCAACAACCGCTGGTTCTCATAAGAGATCATCATCATCATTATATCGTTTCTCAGGCACAAAACATAACGGCAAACAATGGCCACTCTTGCGTCTTCCTCTTCCATATCCTCTGTCCTCTTCTCTTCTCCCAAATTCTCCTCTCCTTCTCTCTTCCCTCTTCAACGCCTCTCACTATGCCCCTCCTCTCTCTCTTCCTCTTTCTCCATTTCATCATCTTTTACACCCCACCTCACATCCCCAACCCGGACCACTGTCTCTCCGGTCCGGTTCAGCGTCCGGGCCGCCGCCGAGAAGAAGAAGGTGCTTATAGTCAACACCAACAGCGGTGGGCACGCCGTGATCGGCTTCTACTTTGCCAAACAGCTTCTGGGTAACGGCCATGAAGTCACCATCTTGACCGTCGGCGAGGAGGCCTCTGACAAGATGAAGAAGCCTCCTTTTAGCAGATTCTCAGTTAATTCAAGAATAACATTTCATGTTAAAAGTGGGATTACAACAATAATTTTGTGTTTTAACTAACTAATTAAGTAAATAACTTTTTTCAGGAAATTGTGGAGGGTGGTGGGAAGACAGTATGGGGTAATCCAGCAGATGTGGGGAAGGTGTTGGAGGGCCAAGTATTTGATGCTGTTTTGGATAACAATGGCAAAGACCTGGACACGGTAAAGTAAGTGTTTTTATTCTCATATGTATTAAATTGGTCTCATCTGGAAAGGGCAATAGCTCCCGATCAGTTGTGCTCTTTGAATCGTCTCGATTTCCTTCCCTTCATAGTCAAGTCCTAGATTAGCGACGACATGCCTAATTCGACCAGACCTTAGTATTTATAGCAGAATTACCCTTAACACTATTGTCGTCTCCCTATTGTCGTCTCCCTACAAGTTGGTCCGTCCATTTATTGGGTCTAACACGGTCAGGCAATGTTACATAATTTTTGAGAAGAAAAAGGATTAGATATCATTTCTAATTTCATGGTTACATTACATACTAGGCCAGTGGCAGACTGGGCAAAGAGTTGTGGAGTGAAACAATTTTTGTTCATCAGCAGTGCTGGGATCTACAAGCCAACTGAGGAGCCTCCCCACATTGAAGGGGTACCCTACCCTACCCTTCAATTATCTTTACAATTCAATTTACTACCCCATCCCAGCAACTTAAACTGATGAAATTGGTGCAGGAAACTGTTAAAGCTGATTCTGGTCATGCTACAGTAGAGAAGTACATTTCAGAGGTTTTCAGCATCTGGGCATCCTTTCGCCCACAATACATGATCGGCTCTGGCAACAACAAAGATTGTGAAGAATGGTTCTTTGACCGTAAGAATTGAATTGATTTCTTAATTCACTTCTTGATCTCCAAACTTGATTTCATGGATTGACCAATGCAATACAATGCAGGTATTGTAAGAGGCAGACCAGTCCCAATCCCGGGCTCTGGTATGCAGCTAACGAATATTTCTCACGTTAGAGACCTTTCGTCCATGCTTACTGTGGCTGTTGAGAACCCAGACGCAGCAAGTGGCCACATCTTCAACTGTGTGAGCGACCGTGCCATAACGCTGGATGGCATGGCCAAGTTTTGTGCCCAGGCTGCTGGGAAGCCCCTTCAGATTGTTCATTATGACCCCAAAGCTGTGGGAATTGATGCCAAGAAAGCCTTCCCTTTCCGCAATATGGTAAACACAACCATCTTTTTCTCAACCTTCATTGCCTGTTGTTGGGGGATCGGGGCTGGTAAAGGTCAAGTAGGGGATTGTTGGGCGGAGGTTGATAAAGGGCTTAAAAGACACCCTGCATCTTGAAAATGTGATGATGGTATATAAGGAAATAAAGTTGAGTCGCCTTCATACTAGCTACTAGCTATAGTTTTGGGCGTAAGTGGTAAGGAGATAAGGACCCGGAGCCGATTGGCTGGTGAGCACTACCCTACCCTCCAATAGCTAATCGGCCGACTAAGCAACCTAGTCGGTGCCTAGACAGCTTAATCAATGCCTAGGAGGCCAATGCGGCCTAGTCGACCACCTAGCCGGCCAGCTACCTAGACCACCGATTATGGTGATACGCTAGGCGGTCAGCCAGCACCTAGTGTCAAAAGCCAATTAATCGGTACACGAGCACTGGCTGTGAGAGAGGAATTGTTGAGCAGAGGCCGATAAAGGCAGTCTAGCCCACAGAGACACATTTAAGACTGGTTGGTGCTGGGAAGGGGAATTGTTGGGTGGCGGTTTATAAAGAAATAACGTTATGTCTTCACTACTAGCTATAGCTTTTAGCGTAAGTGGTAAGCACTTGATCCTAACAATTGTTCTATCCCCATTAAAATGTATGTATGTGTGTTTTGCTTGCAGCACTTCTATGCTGAGCCAAGAGCTGCCAAGGAGATTCTTGGATGGCAGGGTACAACTAACCTTCCAGAAGACTTAAAGGAACGATTTGAAGAGTATGTAAAGATCGGCAGAGACAAGAAGGAGATCAAATTTGAACTAGACGATAAGATACTTGAATCCCTCAAAGTACCAGTGGCTGCTGCTTGATCCAGAATAAGCCCACCATTCTATGTACTATGATTGTATTCTTTTCCCTCACTACCCAACCAGAACTAGTTGCAAAATGTGGCCAAAGAGATTTTGAAGGAGAAGCTGACTTTGTTTACTGATCACCAAAATTGCCTCAATAAACACATTATCCATAATCCAAACTAGTCCATACATTAATTAAATCAGAAGAGAAGTAAAAGCAATAGCAGGCATGTCACAAAAGTTTCCTGCTATGGGGCCAAAGTTTCAACAGCATACAATAACACAAAAACAAGACTACAAGTCTAATCTAACCAACACCACAGTTGATTATGAGCTACACTAGCTAACTCGAGTTCTTACAAGTCCTCAGAGTGGACATCTCCAGAGCTGCAATGTGATTCTATTCTTATTCATGCTTGATTTCAAGGCCCTTGAGCTTGGATTCCAATTCATTCTCATTATCACCATCCTCTCCATCAACATCTTCATCATACTCTTCTCCGTCAGGATCATTCTCATCCAGTGGTCCAAGAAGATTTGAGCAGGTTTTGAAAATTTCTTTGACCTCATCAACCCCTTCATCAGATATGAAGTTTCCATTAATATTCAGCACCTTAAACCCAGGTTTGCTGACAACAGCCTGTGCCAGGCACCTAGCCCCAGCTCTTCGAATTGAGTTAGTGCTCATGTCCAGTTCGTTTAACTGGCTATGACCATCCTCCAATGCCTTGGCAATAATAATAGCACCCTCATCCTTCAGTTCATTCTCTGCCAAGTTCAATGAGGTAAGAAATTGTTTTGCAGCTATGCAAGCTGCAAAAGCATGAGCGGCTTTCTCGGTGATGTCATTTCCAGCCATCTCCAAAATTTCCAGTGATGGTGCAGATTCTTTGAGGGCATTTGCAATAGCTATGGACCCTTCATCTTCCAAATTCAAATAGCTGAGGTAGATCTCTGTTAAATCTGAAAACCTTGGTAATACCCTGCTCAAAACAACTCCTGCATCGGCACCAAACATGTTGTCTCGCAAGTCAAGCTTCTTCAAGTGAGCGCATGCTTCCAGTGCTTTTGACAGAGCACAACCCCCTTCAGATCCTACCCTTGTTGATGAACACCGAAAGCTTTCCAGCAGAGGAGAACGCTTAACAATTTCAGAAATAGCAAACGCACCATCATCTCCAGTCATATTGTTGTGAAAATGAAGTACCCTAAGTTTATCAGTTGAAGGGATTAACTCACATACTGCTCGTGCTGCTTCTTCCGAGATCCCATCATTCATCAAATAGAGCTCCTCCAAGCTCTGTTGTGACTTCAGAAGTCCCCCAAAAGCCCTCACACCCTTTTCCCCCAATGCATTGTTTGATAGGTTGAGATACCTTAATTGACACTCTTCCAAAGCAGATGAAAATATCTGCATTACTTCAAGGGCTTCTGACTCCGGTCTTCCTGCGATGAAATCTGAAAGGTCTGCCTCTATCAATTGATCCTTGAGTGACGATAAAATAGGCCCTGCAACATGAGCAGCATCCAAACCAAAACTTCTGTTGCTGAAACAAATCTTTGTATATTTGTTCCCAGGCTCCTTCAGAGGTTCCAACAATTTCTCAGCTTCATCGGCAGCAATGAAAGCCCTTTGACCTCCAGAAATATCAAGAACAGTCTCTTCAGATGCCTTAACTTTACCTTCTGCATCCTCCACTGTTCTTGGACCTCTTTTAATAACATCTAACATAAGCTTACTTGATTCCTTAGCATAAAGTTGCACCGCAGAGCTTCCATCTCCATCTGGCTCCTTCTCAAAGTGTTGGTTTGCTGCAGCAAAAGCCATAACCTCAATTTGTCTAGCATCCTCCTCAGCCTCATCTTTATTCAGAAGCCCATACTTTCTAGACAAAATGGATGGAGTGCTGAGGTTCTTGGTCATTCTCTCCACAAGCATTAGCCTGGTACTTTGGCTTGGGGGCCACAGTTTCATAGAGAATCCTGTAGCATCCATCTGTTATCAGCTCTAACAAGATCAATCTACCAGTCTGTTCATGGACAGAAGGGAAAAAGGGAAATGTTAATGAGGCAATAAAAGCTGCTAGTGGAGAAGAACACAGTCTAAAATCTGTGATCTTTGGGAACTATTTTCTAATATAACAAGCAAAAGAAATATCAGTGAATCCCTAATCTCAAGTTTCCAACTACACAATACTTGATAGGTATAGATGTCAGCAAAAATAAAGCACACTCCACAACCCAAAACAAAACAAAAAAAAAAAAAAAAAAAAAACAAAAAAAAACAAAAAACAAAAAACAAAAATCAATTAAACACTCAACAGCACTCTTAGAAAAAATCTTCTTTGCATAAGAAACTCTTCTTCATTGCTAAAATGGCACAAAATCACTGCAACAAGATCTGAACATGTTTCCTTAAACGTATGGCACAATGAAATGATAACGGACTATGTCTGGTTACCTAAATCAACAGCCAAAAATGAACACAAAAACACAATTCCTCTGCAGAAACATGAAATTGAATAAATAGCAGCACACAGATCCGGCAAAAATTAACACAGAATGTATGACTAAATCAGCGAAAAAGGAAAAGAGAGAGAGATATCTGGAAAACAGTACCGATAGAAAGATAGAAAGCTCTAGAGAGCGAATTGGGAATGGAGATGGCGTAAAAACCCTAAAAGCGAAAAGGGGGTAAGAAAAAGAGATGATTTGGAGATTGTAACGTGACTTGAACCCTAGTTTAGTACTGGCCTACTGGGTAATCATTAAACAAGTTGTGAGGAAATTTAGGAGTAGTTTGGGAGGGAAAATGATTCAGCTCATCTCAAATCTGAAATCTGAAAGACTGAAATCGTAAATTCAACGTTACATTCAACCAGATTTTGAATCTCGGGCCGTCGGACCTCTTATTGGCCCAAGATTTCAGATAGCAGCTGCCCAGCTTTTTGTATTTTACATTTATTTCCATGTCCTCCTCCTTTTTTTTTTTTTTTTGGTCTTTCTTTAGTTCTTTCTTTCTTTCATACTCGGGTTGAGCCGTCAAAACAAATTTTACTCGTCGAACCTGTAAGATGTAAATTTTGAAAATAGAAGTCCACTAAAGAGCGAGCTTTCTTAGCCCGCCCCACAAGCTTGGCGAGACGGGCTAACAAAGTCATTTTTATTATTATTATTATTATTATTATATAATGTTTGATAATCATAAAATGTTTGAAAAGATTTTCTACCCAGTCAGGTTTAGTAATTAACTAGTATTGTCCTGTGCGATGCACGGACTAAATATTAAAGATTTGTTTGTAATGTTAGAATAGGTAAACAAATATTTTTAATAATGGTATTTGAAGTACAGAAGAAGAAAACATTAACCACAATTTAATTGTTTAAAATTACATTTTTATTAAGTATATGACAAAATAATTATGATATTGTATTTACAATATTTAATTTAATAATTGAAAATAGTATGATACAAAAAGTTACTATTATTAATCGCAGCTAGCGGTATTACATATTTGATCTTAAGTATGTCTACTCCTAGTATGCTACTCATGCGATGCACGGTATGAATATTGGACACCATTATAATAATATTATTTATTAAAAAATACATAACCTAATATCAACATAGTTGCAATTCATATTCATATTCATATATATTACAATAATAACAATAACACTAACACTAATAATAATAATAATAATAATAATAATAATAATAATGAAAAATAATAATAATAATAATAATAATAATAATTAATAATATTAATAACATAAATTAATAAGTAAATATATATATATATATATATATACACACACACCATATGGTCTTGTGAAAATTAAATGTTGTTGATACCAACATTTAACCATTAATATCAACATTTAATTTTCACAAGACCATATGACTTTATTATAATTAAGATTTAAATAAATCTAATATCTTTTGTTCTCCAAACACTCTTAATAGGGACAAGAGAAAGATTGGTGAGGTGGCCGTGATTTCAGTCACAGATTCGTTGAGAAAATTATAAGATGTTCGTTAACATGTTATGTGTTCACAGTTAACATATTTTCTACATGTAGTTAACAGTTTATGTGTTTATAATTATCCTGTTATACGTTTGTAATTACCATGTGATGTGCCTTCGATTTGTTTACAGGTACAAAAATGATTAAGTGCATATATAAAATGTATCAATTGCATGTACAATTTTTTTTTCCTACATCCAATGGAGGGGAACCCAAGAGTTAAAATGGAAACCTTAGGTCCCTATCAACGTTTTTACGGACCGATATTCCTGCATGTACAAAATTTGAAAATTATTTTTGGATCAGGGTTTACAATCCAAAGTATACCCTAGTTACCTAGTACAGTGTATAATTTCCTATGTGCATTATAGTATATGGGAAGGTTTTTTTTTAGAGAAAATATCAAAAAAAAAAAAATTAGAAGAGAAAATATCATTTTTGGTCCCTTGACTATCATAGCTGAAGCACATTTAGTTCTTGACTATTGTATTTTTTAAATTAGGTGCATGACTTTTCTATTAGTATCAGATTTGGTCCTCCAGTTCAATTTTTCGGTCACATATTATCGAAATTGCAACCGAAAAAATAATATTCGTATGTTGTAATTAGAAGAATATTTTGATCCTTTCAAATTTGTTTTATTTTCTTCTTTTACTTTTCTTCTTCTTCCCCCTTTGTCCCTCTCTTGTTCTTCTTCTCCCTTTCTTCTTTTATGTTCAGTCAAGCAGGCCGTCCGCCGGGTCGAGTACGACATCACCAACAGCATTTGGTGAGTCAACACCGTCGACTCCAGCTACTGCTCGCGGTGGCTGGTGGTAGCCACCAGCAAGAATACCGAGCCTCTCGTCCTCGATATTCCTAGCATCCGGCGCTTCTCCAGCCCGGTTATGCACACCAGCTTCTACCGCTCCGGCTCTGAGTTCCGGAATCAACTAGTTTTGGTGGTGGGGTGTGGGAGTCGATTGAAGCTTGGATTATATTCTTAGGGTTCAGTTGAGAAATAGAAGAAAGGGAGAAGAAGAAGAACCGGAGTGGAAGAAAGGGAAAGAAGAAGAAGAAAAATAAAAGAGGAAAATAAAATAAGTTTGAAAGGATCAAAATACCTTTCTAA